CACCCCCACCCCGTTAATGCTTATACTATAGCAATTCTCTATTATTATAATTTTCCAACAAAGGGTTCGAATGAACATGTGTTTCCACACCTGTAGGGAGATACAGCTCTTCCACATATTCATCCGTACGGACTATTTACAATGCGAAACATACTTGTATGTAAAAAAAAACTTGTTTTAAATCTCACCCCTTAATTATAAAAATATAATAAGATCATGTAAAGAAAAACTTCAAAGGTTGAAACCTTCAAGTTTGGCCTCTGGATAGTTTTCAGTTGTAGGAAAGAAAGAGGCAAAAGAGAACTAGGTAGCCCTCGTGTCATAGTTAGGGGATAGCTAATGTGTTTGTTCGTGAGCTTCAAACATTTTTTTTTTGGTATTTTGTGAAGCTTACCCCCTTTCTTCTTTAATTTTCAAGATAATTACCTAAACTATTACCTTCTCTTTATATTAAAACACACCTCAATGTTGAGATAATCTACACGTGCTAGCTATGGATTGAGATGGGTTTTAATACAAGTTTAGATGGGTAAAAAGAGAGAACAATGAATAGTTGAGATACAAAAATCACAAAAAGGTGATAATTTAGGCATCCACCTCAAAGCAATCATTGTTCCATGAAAATATGAATGGGTCGGATATAGCATTACCCATTATGAATCCACTCATATGCCAGCACTAAGAACCATTAATATGACGAAAAATTGCATTAAAAACACCGCTTGCTTAGCCACACAAGGGACATCGTGATAAGAGGAGAGAACAAAAATGAACAAAGGAAAATGAGAAGCACACACAAATTACTACAAGCAATATTGTATATAAATCATACATAGCGTACATTAGAACATTGCATTTCTAAGTTGAAGGATATCATCAATTCCCATATAATTAGTGATTTGGAGATGATACAATCTCATCTATTCCATCCTGCCATCATCCTCAGAAATGCCATCACCTCTGTGCCTGCAAAATTCAGCACAAGTTGAGATACCACTCAGTTCGCTGGACAGTAATTTAAAAGATGACAAACGACGGAGACATCAACAAAAGTTGAAACTACTCTATGCATGTTTTTCAAGAACTTCCGCAGCCTGTCATCAGTTCTTGGCAATCACTTATCACGATGATATACTTGAACTTCCCATGACACTCATGTAACAAACATCTACTCTATCAAATAAAATGGGAGGACTTTGCAAACATAGTAATGTCTTTGAGGGGAGCACTTAAAAAACATGATTTTTTTGGCACTATAATCCACAAAAACTGAGGACTCATTACAAGCCAACAGATAATTACATTATAACCAAATATGTAATTTAAGTCCTTTGAGAGTTTAAACACTGACCGCCATGAAGTGGTAAGGTTCCGAGCTTTTCTGTCCAATTGAAGGTTTTCTAAGGCAGATGAGGCAAGCATTACATCTTGCGAAAGCTCTTCATTTTCATATCTCCAGTTGTATTCATCTTTCCTATATCCGGATATAGATGAACCTGCCCTTCTGTCTAGAAACTCAACAATATCAGAAATTCATGCTACGGGAATTAACTGCCAGAAAGGGGGAGGGCCAGCTAGATTACTTACCAGATGACTGCGCAGCAGGACCTGGCCTGTGGGGTAAAATGGTTCCAAGTCAATTTTAAATCCAAACAAAAGAGTAAAAGAAGTGATAATATTTTATATGTTAACCTTCCCAACGGAGGTAACCCCCCGGCAACTGAAGATGAAGAAGGCTTCCTAACATTCCTAGCTTCAGTGTTGGACAGAGATCCAGCACCCTTTGCTTGAGAGAAGTTCTGGGAAAAAATAAAACAAAATTAGAAATTATTTCTAGTAGACACACTTTGCATACTGACCCACATAGTACAGGAAACTGTTATTTGCAAATACTATAATAAAATCATTTACACAAATTAACACCTCCAACCATCTGGAATAACAGCAACAACACAGCCAGAACATTGGAGACCCCAAAAGCAGAACAACAATTAGTTACTACCAACTAAGTTTTTATATCAATTTTTACATATTGATACACTTCTTTATACATGTCAATCAATAACTAACGTTTATATGTCAAACCTCGTATTTCAAGAATCCTTCAAGAACATCCAAAAGCAATGGAGCACTGTCACCATTCCTGTTAAGATCATATCCATTCTTGCTGCTGAATTCTTTTAGCTCAGATTTCCATGACTCCTTTGGCTGCACAATCACACAATGGGTTCTTTGTAATTAAAACTAAATATTGACAAGACTTTGTGAAAGGTATTATAAACTCACACCGGAGAGCACAGTACATGATTACCAAGTTACACTCTGGCAAATACACCTTAAGTGTGTGGTTTAATTGAGCCCAATCCAAATATTCACATATAAGTGCAGTTAGTAGCCTTCCTGCACACAGAACAATCAAACTGTTAAAATGAATAAGCAAAGTGATCTACTATTCGAGGATCAAGGATGTATTAAATTTTAACACTTCTTAGACCTAAAACACAACTATGTTGATGCATTGATCATAAGATGTACGGACTGCAAGAAGAGGTACATTATCATCCCAGTTAGATTCAATTAAGACATGTCTAGGTACCTTTGAGAAAATTCTAAAGTAACCAGAGAAGTTTTACTTCAAGGGGGATAGCCCTCAAAATTTAGTATTTTTTTGTAAATGATGTTTCTTTTTGTATATTCAGATAAGACATTCTTTATGAAGTTGCCAAGACCATATAATAAGAATCCATTACCCCAACCAATGTGAAATACTCTACACACCCTCGCACGCCCAGCTAGATATTTGGAGCATTGACAATATAATGAGGGCCAAATAGTGAGTAAACCAAGAATAGTTATGAGTTTGGCTTAAGAATGTGAAGGAAAAAGAGGTTTTGGGAATATATTTAAAGAATGATTTAAATAGTGTTTAAAAAGCAATCAAAAAGAGGGAAAGAAACACTAAAAGATGGAATGAACACATTTCACTAGTTCTCTGACATAAAATGCCAAAAGTTGAAATATTAGACTATGTAGGGCTTTAGTAGCTAATTTAGGGCTTAGTAGTTAAGGAGAAAAGATATATTGTCAAGTACTTAACATATTATTATCATGCTCCCAGACATTTGCATTTCAATATGTTTACCCGAGATAAATCAAAGATTTTTTACCGTTTAGACATGGAAGCAAAAATGTACACTCTCTAATATTTTCTCCAAGACTTTTTAGCGTCTTGGAAACATTAAATTTGATATTGGAGATTGTAATTTGTTTTGGATATCTTATTTCATCACAAAATACAAACTAAATGAATCTGAAACAGGAAAGTAACATATTTGTTGGGAAAGCAAAAGGTGTAGCCATCTGCAAGTTAGACATAGGTTTATCAGGAGTGAGATTCACAGAATCAGATCCTAAAAAAGATATTGAATTTCTAGGTCTGAAGAGCTGGCAGAGGTTGTTCGACCAAATGTCAATCCAGACAACAGATTGTGACTTTTAATAGACGGTCTGCTGCAGTATATGAAAACAACTCAGCTTTCTGATATATATTACCAAAGTCGATAAAAATGTTCTAGAGAAGATAAGCATGTCTCCTTCTGTCCTTAACACAAAAATTTGCAATGATTTAAGCAAAAGACCAACAAAAAGGACAAAAATAAAAAATGACCTGAAGGCGAGTTATGGAGTTGTTTTGCCTGATCATTGCAGCTACCCAATAGCGCAGGAGGCAAGGTTTCATCCTTCTCAATTACTCTATCCTCATCTTCAATTGCCTCAAAAACGCTTGCTCTAAGTTCAGCCTACAAATTGTCACACCATAAAAATATGTAAAATTTGAAAAATATCTTATACGGAATTCAATCTACAACAAGAAAAGAATGACCCAATTCAAAGGAAGCAAATGTAACACAACAATTAGAGATCATCAGTTTGTAGTTTTTACTACAATTATGTAGCTAAAGGATGAAAACAACATGTTAGACTAGATCAGTTCACTGCAAGAATAGGCTTTTTGTACAAACGGGTTCCTTTCTTTTTGTTTTTGTATAGGGGAACCCCTGATCATGTAATCATAAGCATTGTCTTAGTTCTTGGTTATTGTTATTTATAAAATAAAAATACAATTCCAAATACATCCTTTCATGGATTCTACAATCCACACTATCGTTGAAATAATAAAGAGTTGCGCATTGAGAACCATGAGGCCTCAAGTTCGAATTCCAGAGGCGGCAAAATAGTACTCCCTCCGTCCCTCCATCTCAATTAAAGTGTCTTACTTTCCTTTTTGGTTTGTCCCGAAAAGAGAGTCTCTTTCTGTATTTAGTAAGTTTTCCAATTCCAACATCCTCCATAAAACGTTTAAGAACACAAAATTTAAAAGTACTACATACATCTTTTTAAGTTAAAACCACAAAATTCAAATGTTTCTCTTGCTTCATAAACTTCATGCCCAATCAAACTAAGACACTTATGAGTCGTTTGGTTGGAAGCAAGTTATCTCGAGATTAATTATCCCGGTATAAGTTATTCCACCATGTATATGAGATAACTTATCTCAGGTATAGATAGTGGAATAAACAATCCAAGGATTACCTAATACCTCCAACTAAACACAGTATAAAATAATACTGCATTTTCTCCTGAGATTAATAATTATTATATCTTATAACTCCCACCAAACACCTCCTTAAAGGGCCGGAGGGAGTAGGTGATTTATTTCCATGCATTTGGCGGAGTTACTTGGTACTTGAAATGAGTCAAGCTGCTCATAAGCTGGCTCGGACACCGCGATTAAAAAAAAAAAAAACTTAAAAACTAGAAATATCATAAAGCATTGATACGTAACAACCAGATCGGATCCTAAGATCATTCTACGTCAAAAAATAAATAAATTATAAGCAAATACATTTAAAAAATGAAAATGTAGAGGAGAAAAGGGGTTAATTACTCGGATCTTAGCGAGTACGCCTTTCTTCTCTAGGGTTCGTGTAACGAGGGTTTTGAGGTCCATCATTTCTCTAGTGTAATCGTCCATTTCTTCAGATTCTTCTTCTTCTGCTGCTGCTGCTTTGAGAGGCTTTGTACAGTTTGGTAGAACTAGAAATGCTTGCTCTTTGCTTCTCTGCCGTATTCTAATGGCTTTTTCTCTTCTCTTCTCGGAGAAGACAAGTTCGTTTTTGCCCTGTTTGTATTTGAGAGATTATTTGGTTTTGTTAGTATATAATGGTCAAAAATATATCTGAATTTGGTTTTGTTAGTAGTATAGTACTATATAATGATGAAAAATATATTTGAATAATAGTGTTTTTGCGAGTTTATTTTCTGAATTATTATAGGTGTTTGTGGATTAATTAGAAGTGTACGAAATTAATGAATTAGTTATCATATGAATGAAATTTTATGCCAAATTAATGTCTTTAGTCGATTATATTTAAATAATACTTAATCTAGTTAATATTGAAGATTATTTTAAAAAATAATCAATAATAATTTATGTAGAAGATTCAAAATATAAAATTCACCAAAAAAATGAATTTTATCTCAAAATTATCTATGTTTGTCCAGCGTACCAAATAACCCCTAATAAACATGCTATGAAAGTAAAGATAACTATCACATCTCTTAAATTTTGAGCCTAAAAATAAAATAAATCATGTTAAAAGATCTTTTTTTAATAGGTGTTATATGGTTCGAATTTAAATTAATTGATATTTCAATATAAATATCATGAGTGCAAAACCAAAATAAATCGTTAATGAAAGTACGAAAGTAAAAGTTATTTGATATATTTACACCAAATTAATAATTGCATGTTATTTGTTTGTATACACTATATATAATCACTTAATTATAATTATTTAATGTATACTATTATCTTAAAATCACTTGAATTCTCGTTATATATGCTATTTAAAGAAGGATTCGGCCACAAAAATTTATTACAAGACATCTAACATATATATATATATAATTCGGAATTGGATTTGTGATGTCTAGGTAATATAGTTTTTCTTCATTTTCTTATTCTTTAGGACGCTATTACTATTTTGAAATTTAAATATATATTTTTTGGACTTGATACTAGGTTTAAATACTTTTAAATTTTAATATTAAAAGTTGTAATTTATAGTATTTTTATATAGTCCTTTAATATCTAAATTTCATATTATAAAATCAGTGTCCTAATTACGATAGAAATTTTTGTCATTTATAGATTAAGATTTATAGTTTTTGATCCATTTTGTTGGTTTTATAATGTAAAATAATTTAATTTTGTTGATTATTTGGAATGAATACCACAACAATGAAGTCCAAGCAATTCCCAGATGGAACAAGGCAAGAAGAGTTGGAAACTGAGGGTTGAGAGTAATACTTTATTCTGTCTCGTATTAGTTGTCAACTTGTCTTTTTTTTTTGAGAGTTAAATTTTGCGAAGTAATAAAAATTGTATTCAGTGTGAGAAGATTGTTCATATTGTATGAAAGAATATTATATTAAAAAATAATTAGTTACTTCTATTGTTAAACTAGTAAATCTTTGAAGAATTATATGTATTCAAAAATTTATAATAACATGCAATTGCAAGTATGTGTTCATTAGATACATGATTTATTAATGTAGCGCCTTAGAATGTACCAATACCTTGTTTATGAACAATGATTTTGCTTATTTGGTAAAATTGTATAAAAGTTGAGAAATTTTCATAGTTTTAACAGATTGTGGAGCTTTTATATTTATGAGAAAAAAGTATAATTTAAAAAATTCAAATTACATATCTAAACAAAATTTCAACATCAAATAATAAATCATGTCCAAACCAGTCCTTAGTCGTAGTGAGCAATGATCGCACAAATCATGTAGGAACGAGTACAATGTCTTCATAATGAGAAAGGACTTAAAAAGGCAGTAACAGAATTCTGTATTACAGCCTCCAGTTCAATACTGTTCATTTTTTTATGATACACATTACAACAACAATAAAACATATCCAGTGTAATCCCACGAGTAGAGTCTGAGAAAGGTGGTGTGTGCGCAGACCTTAACCCTACCGAAGGTAGAAATGTTGTTTCTGATAGGCTCTCATCTCTCGGATCAAGTAAAGCATTTCAAAGCAGGTCATGATACACATTAATGAAACTGAAATACCTACAGAGCTTCATAAGTGAAGCTTTGTGAAAAGAGTTCTCCGTTCATCTAAGACAAGTTAGATAGGCAGAAGGAAGTTTACTCCTTCTGCACAAATCAATGTTGTAAAGATATGACATCTAGGTCTAACTCAACCCCAAAAGTTAGCTCACGTGGGGAGGATTACTCAAGTCCATATAAGCAGACCACCACTCCATTCCCCCAACCAATGTGGGAATCTGTCAATGAGATACAACGGAATTTGTACTAAAACTTAAGCATCAGAACTCTAGAGAAGTCCTCAAAATTATATTCCCAGCACAAATATATGTTGAGATGAAACTTCAATCGAGAGTTGAAACAGAGTTTAGTGCATGAATGGCAAGTCAAACAAGAACCAACAGAATAACCTCGCAAGGTAGAAACAGAAGGTGGAACTATTCTAAAAAAAAAAGAATATTTGGGGAAGGAAGTGCGGTCATTTTCAGGTGGAGTTGCTATGGAGGAGAATCTCAACATCAAAGATATACCCTGAGACATGAAATTTCTTTTGTTGCAGCAGAGCAGTGAAACGAGAGTTCATATAGTAAAGGCTGGATGAACCGATGGTCATCAACATTTTCTTGGTTTTCCGGGTATTGGCTAAAAAAAAAAAACAAGCAGCATAGTGCAAAGGTAAGATCTCTTCACCAGCATTTCAGACTAGGCCTTTGCTTATGCTGATTTCTCATATTAGCATCAGAATGTTCAAAAGTAATAAGTAATACTGCTAACTTGTGATTAGTCCCTTGTCTTCACATTTTGACGGAATAATCTTGCCCTATTTTAGACGTGAACCATCAGTAGAACTGTGCATCTCATAGAGCAAAAAGTCCCATTATGTAGTGGGGAAGTAAATCTTTGGTATCATCAAGAATGGTAGAATATCCTTGCACACCTAGTACTTTGTTATGTCTAAACCTACAAAAAGGCATACTTATCTCAAATTGTTGTCTGCAACAATAAACCTGACGCTTATCTGTGCAACCATTTAGAAGAATCCAAATCTCTAAAGTCTTCAACAGAAACTTATTCTCAACAATGATCAGGTATATTCTGACATTGAATAAAACCAAAAGTTTCTTCACTTACTGAAAATGATTCAGCTTTTAACGTTTGCTTAACCATCTGGAGAATCCAAATCCCCGGAGCCTCTAAAGGTCGTAGCTTTTCCAAAGCAGAAGTATAGGCATGCTTTGACATAGAACAAAATGCAATCTTGTTCACCCATTCAAAATCAAATGGCTTAAGTGCCAGATCAATGCCATTGCTCCCTTGTCCTCCTAATAATATCTTTCAGAGGCCTTTAACTAATTCCAGTAAACAACATTGAAGTTCTAAAATAATTTGTTCATCAACCATAACAACTAGTCCATCCTTTCCCCAAACAAAAGGCACTAAACTTATTTCTAAAGAGAAATCATCCATCAGATTGTAGCCACGCAAAACTAAAGTAAGTTTTGAAATGCTGGAAGGGGAAAAGAGGAGATAAAGGACTGAGTGACAAAGCCTGAGGATTCAGCCCTTTCAGTTACAAAGTGGAAGATGCGTCTCATAAAAGGTAGGATTGCTGCTGCTGCTTCTTTTCTTTTTAAATATTCTACCCTATTTTACTACATAGAAAGGGGAGAGTTTGGTACAATTGCAAGAGTTGCTGCCCAATTCACCAAGAGGTCATGGATGAAGCACAGAAACAACCTTTTGCAAAAATGCAAACTAAGGTTGCTAACAATAGATGCAATGTGGTCCGGCATTTCCCAACAACAACAACATACCCAGAGAAATCCCACAAAGTGGAGTCTGGGGAGGGTAGAGTGTACACAAACCCTACCTCTCTACCTAGTGGAGGTACAAAGGTTGTTTCCAAAAGACCCTGAGCTCATCCCTTCGGGGTGGCCCACTGGTTTGGGATTGGGACATCCATGTTGGAGGTCTCAAGTTCGAAACCCCTTGCCAGCGAAAGCAAGGGGTTTGCCTTCTGGGTCGAGCTCGTCGCACCGGGCATGCCTAGTGCGGGTTACCTCTCCTATGTGGTTTGCGAGCTATTGTGTAGGAGCGGGGGTTTTACCCTGTACGCACCCAAAGGGTAGCGGTTGCGGGTTTCCCTTGTCATAAAAAAAAAAAAGACCCTAAGCTCAAGTAAAGTAAATCAAAGTACTAACGAAAAGGGAAAACGACAGTAAGGAAAGCATGACAACTAGTAATAGGAAAGCAATGCAGAGCAAACATGCAAGGAACAGTAACATGAACAATATAGTGGGATCATCTAAATATAATAAACAACCGATGGCAACATATACCAAAAGCAAGAAACTGCATGAATAAAGCTACACAGTCGTCCAGACTACCACCAAAGCCCAAACTCCGCAAATAGCGAGATCTTAGTGTACTGAGCTGCACTTTTCATGTTTGACAAATATAGTGAGCTGGAGCAGGAAGACAAACTATTTCTAGGTTCAGTGATAATGGAAAGTGAAGACAGCACATTTCACAGAACACAAATCCTCTCAAACAGTTATGAAGTAATCCAGTTAATTATCCGCCAAATACGAGGACACTAATTAGAACAATTGGCAAAGGATAAATTCATTCTACCAAAAACATAAAATTTACAAAATTCCATCTTTCAGAAAAATTTCAAATATTGAACCAAATTGACAATAACATTAACTTACCATATCCAAGAATTACAACAAAATTATTGACTTCCACCTTCTTCCTCTTCCAATTTCTTTACATAAGCCTTAAGCACCATAACCAAATTCCTCGCTGGAGCTTGAATAGTCCCAACAACAGCTGAAGCCGGTCCTTTCAAAGACCCAAGAAGCTGTGAATAAATCTCAGCTCTTGTAGGCAAATTCTCAAGCACCTTAAACTCATCAGGTCCATAAAACTTCCCTTCAAAAACCCCACCAGTAAAATCATTCTCTTCCAATTTCTTCTCCCTTAGAAAAGTCCTATAAGGTTTCAAAGCAGCTGGGATTTCTTCACTATGAACAAATAACCAAGCATTCATTCCCTTCATACATGGTTTCAATGCTTCCCATTTTGTCCCTTCAATTGCTTTAAGTACCAATGTGTTCTTAGCAACAAGAAGCTTTGTTGTTTCTGGTAGTTGAGCCCTAAGATCTTGAAATTGCTTAACTGTTAACCCCTTGTAACTGATTCCAGCTAAGAGATAACAATCTTCAAGCTGCTGCTTCACTGTTTCGACTGTTTCTTCTTTCTTGGTTCTGCTAATGGCTGAACGGATAGTTAGAGTTCTGGGTTTGGGTTTGAGGTGAGAATTGGATTGGGGGATTATGAAGGGATTGTTGAAGTGGGATTTCACGGAAAATGGGTAAGAGTGAGAGGAAGAGGAAGGTAAGCTGAAGAGAGCAGCCTCCATTGATGATAGCTTGAGAATTGGATTGCCTTATCTTTTGTGCTAAGATAGAATTTTGGGGTATTTCATGAACTTTATGTTTTTGAAAATATTTATGTCATACCAAACAAACCATTAAAGAACCTAAGGCTAGGTAGGTGTAATATTTGCGTATATTTTACCGTTTTTAAATTAGAAGTGGTTTGATACGAGGGATAAAAGATAATAATTCGATAAAATTCAAAATCCTTTAATCTTATGTTTAACTAGGTAATTTGCTCGCGCTTCATGCGGTCATAAATAATTGCATTGATTATTGAACTTGCAAAATAGTTCTTTACTAATATCCATACATTAAAAATAATAGTAAGTTCTTAAAAAACTATTAGCAATATTTCAACATGAATCTGATTATTTGTCATTATCACATAACTCAAGAACCTCTAATGAATGAATTATTCACGAAATAATAAATCATTGGTTCTTTAATCAACATTAAAATGAAAATAAAGAAGAAAATAAGAATATATACAAAGGCATTTCATAAGAAAAAAAACACATTTAAGTTGCATAGATTATACAATCGGGATATTTGTCTCAGGAAAAAATTTAAAAAATTGTTAACAGATTCAAAAACAAAATTGTGCTTGAACATTAAAACAATTTTAACTTTTGAACTTGCATTATGAATTTCTTCAATTGATAAGTGAGAAACTTCATAGTAAAAATAGATAATATGTAAGCTTATATATAGTACTTTTATGTTATAGAAGTTTATATAGAATATCAAAATATGAATTCTTGGAACTGAGTACCATAATTATTTTCTGCACAATGAATATACCTACTATATGTGTATATGTTCAATATAATCGGAGACAATAACTTTGCAAAAACATAAACAACAGAGTTTAAAACATGTACTCAAAAACAACATAAGCATAAATTAATGACTATAAAAAAACATAGCAGAATATGTAACAATACAATGAAATGAAATAGAAAGGAAAAAATCGAGTCCACTGAATGCACAGTGTCTCCTTAAGAAAATCATTCCTCTCTAATACCCAAGGTTTAAAGAAATAGATTCTTTCAGGATGGAACGATTTTATTCACCAGCGTATTGATACAAAAACAATGGTGTCAGTGAGCCATTCAATAGGAGCAAAGTACACGAATATTTAACTGTGCAGAAGAAGAAGTAGTTCAGAAGTTTCGTTGTTTTAAAATGAGAGGAAATCCCTCTATTTATAAACAACAAAGGGTAGTGTGAACAAATGTTTATTGTGCCTTATCGAAAAGGTCACAACTTTTTGGAAAAGTCACAACCCTTCGGAAAGGTCATAACCTTTCATAAAAGTCGCAACTCTTCATAAAAGTCATAACTTTTTATGAAAAGGGAAGGCTAGTTTTGAAAATTAATAGATTAAAAGAAAATCATGGCTTGTGGTGGTGCCACATAGGCGGACGTAGGATTCTTTGATTATATTTAGAGGTATTAATGATATGTTTTGATCAGTTATTTTAAACATATTATACCATATAAATTTTATGATTATTACAAGGTGCATAGTTAAACTTTTTAATTTTTTTTTATAATAAGCATATTGATTTTTCTTTAATATCATATGTTTCAATAATTTTGCTTGAATTCGATAGTAGAGTCACATTATGCATAATTAATGTAAACATTATATACTTTATTTGATATTAAGGTATGTATATAACTTAATATATGGAAATATCAAATATGTGATATTAGTAATACAAAGATTATTAATTCACGCATTAGCATAATTAAAGATACCGTTGCTCTACAAAACTCTTTTTACATCATTTACTATATTTATTGAAGATACTTCTATAAACAAATAATTATTATTATTTTTGAAATTATGTATACATGTTATTTTTAATACATCAAATCAAATATAAAATAATTTTTTTATCAAATATAATTAATCATATATATATATATATATAAGAGAACCTTAGGCCCGCCTATGTGGCGCCACCAGAAACCAGAATTCTCTGTTAATTTATTTATTTTCAAAACTAGTCTTCCCTTTCATGAAAAGTTGTGACTTTTATGAAAAATTGCGACTTTTATGGAAAGTTGCGACTTTATTGAAGACTTGCGGCTTTTATGAAAAGTTGTGACTATTATGAAAGGTTGTACCCTTTCTGAAGGGTTGCAACTTTTCCAAATAGTTATAACCTTTCTGATAAGGCACAATACTTTCCGAAGGGTTTCAACTTTTCCAAATAGTTGTAACCTTTCTGATAAGGTACTATAAACATTTGTTCACACTATCATTTGTTGTCTATAAATAGAAAGATTTCCTCTCATTTTAAAACAACGAAAATTCTGAACCTCTTCTTTTTCTTCACAATTAAATATTTGTATACTTTGCTCCTGTTGAGTGGCTCACTAACACCATTGCTTATGTTACAGATCCTGATATGTATTTTTACAATCATTAATTTATGTTTATGTTATTAAAGATAAATGATAAGATGTAATAATTTTCATTTCCTTTAACATTATTAATGTTTGTTACTACGTAATCTTGTATATAAGATAATATAATGTTTTAGTTTTAATGCTTGATATGTTTTAAGTATTATTTTATAAATTCTGTGATATTAAATTCCCGCACGAAACGCAAATAATTTTACTAGTACAAATATAAGTAATACTTATATTACTAAAATTTACCATGTTCAATATTATTTTTTTATACACTCGATAAACCATCCTTAAGTAGTGTATATTATGTATACTTCAATCATATTAATAAATTAGTTTACTTAGTTAGTACATATATGTATACATAGATCTATAACTTTATCAATTAAAAATGTTCACTTGAATAAATTCGTTTACTTAGTTAGTACATACATGTATACATAGATCTATAACTTTATCAATTAAAAATGTTCACTTAAAAATAAATTTCAAGAGTCAAAACTATTCAAAAATTATTTTTGAATGTAACGAAAATCATAAGTGGCATTTTTATCATTTTCTCTACTCAAATCCTAATCTCTGTTTGAATCGTGGTTATGTCTCATATCATAATATATCATATTATATTATATTATTTTAATAAATATAATATTTGAATAAATTATATCATTTTCCGTATTGCATAATATCACACCTTTATAATTTGAATAATAAACCTATAAGAAATTGTAGGATACTGAGTAGAACTTAGGGGTGTGCACTATTTGGATTAAACCGAAAAACCAAACCAAATCAAACCGAATTGTAATTTGGATTGATTTTTTGGATTTTTGGATTTTTGGTTTGGTTTTGGATTTATAAGTTACTTTGTTTGGTTTTTTGGTTTGGTTTCAGATTTAGAAAAATGAAAACCGAAAAACAAAAAAAAACGAATTTTATATATATATATAATTACACATATAATGTTTAGGTTTACTATGTAGGCAATAGGGTACTAGTAATTTAGTATTACCGTAATATTTAGGCCCATATCAAATTACTGCCATCCTATTTCACTAAATTTTAGGCATTAGGTTTTACATTATAACTATAAATATCACATATTACTTGCACTTTCACGAAATTTTTTTTAGCAGAACTAGAATTAGCGGAGCTAGTCAACTTTTTAACTTTTGCAGTTTGCTCTTTTTTCTTGCTTTATTTTGTTTGTGTGCTATTTACTTTTGAAATTTTTATCTATTTCTTTCTAAAAAGTTTTTTCATCATATTTCAGGTTTAAGAGATCTTAATTGAAGACATGAGTTGAATTGTTGGTTCAACCTCGATGCGATTTGTGTTTAGTGATAGTACTTTAGAGTTTAGAGTTAGTTTCATTGAAATTATTGATAGTATTATGTTTTAATGTTTTACTCGTGTTACTTTTCCTTATATGAAATTTTTATTTTTTAAGCATGCAAATATAACTTTGATTATGTTATTAATTAGTTATGAAATAAGTTATAACCGAATAGCCAAACCGAAAAAAACCAAACCGAAAAGAGAAAAACCGAACCAAACCAAATTTTTTTAGTTCGAATTGGGTTATACTTTTTCAAAACCGAAAAACCCAAACCAAATAACAAAAAACCAAACCGAAAAACCGAATGCACACCCCTAGTAGAACTACTACAAAAAAGATAGAATAAATACTAAAATAAAATTATTATCAAATCAAAACAAACATTGTATTTATACTATCATTACAATACAATACAATACAATACAATGTCATCATGTAACAACCATCCAAACGAAGTGTAAGAGGGAAAAGAGCAAAAAAGAAGAAGAAAACACAGTTCCGCCGGAGACGAGTGGGAAGATAAGGAGTACTACGCATTAACGAACCAAATTACCAAAACCTAAAGGAGAAAATGGCAGCTTCGAGCATTGGGTATCAAATTCATATTAATGTCAATTCTCCAATTCTTCTTCCTTTGAGAACCAATTTCAGTTCACTCTCTTTCACTTTCTCTAATGCTAAATACCCATTAAAATGGAATCACATTGGCTGCCCCAAAATTTGTGCTCTACCAGCTGTTTCAATAATGGCTTCTGGGTACTCTCTTTCTCTATTTATTTTTTAGCTATTTTTTCTGGAATTCTCGTATTCTTCTAGTTTTAGGGTGTGTTTGGTTGGTAAGAAGCAAAATGTTATTCACGTAAAATATTTATCTGGAAAATATGTTGTTTTCTTACTTATTTTTGACATAACCGTCGAAAACACACTTGAATTATCACTTTTACTTAATTTCCTATGTGAAATATAACCATCTATATATTAAAACACACTTCAAACAATAATTTGTTTACTTTTATCATCTATCAGGTATCAGGTAGAAAAATGAAACAATTGATAGTTGAGATGTGAAACTCGCGAAAAAATTACGTTGAGTTAGTTTTTTTTTAAAACCATCGACTCCTTATCTTTTTGATGGTTGGTAAGTGAACTAGAAAATATTGTTTCAAATGTAATCTAAGAAAATATTTGTTGTTTCCTTTACTTTGGGTTATCATATTATTTGTTGTTTGCTTATGTTATCTTTTCTATTATTTATTTGTTAGTATGACTTTTACATTACTATATTTACTTTACATAATTGATTTCTCATATGCGTTACTTGAGTTGAGGGTCTATCGAAAAAACACTGTCTAGCTTCACAAGGTAAGGAGTAAGGTTGCGTACACACCATGCTCTCCAGTCCCCACTTGTAGGATTACACTTAGTATGTTGTTGTTGTTGTTAAGCAAATACAGCAGGAGGCCAGAGCTAGGATTTTCAATTTATGGTTCTAGATTCTAAAAAGATGTCTCAATAAGTTCTGAATAAATTAGACATATTAAGTGAATATTTAGCATAAATTCATGGTCTGCATCAAAGCTCATAAGCAGAATGCTAGCACCGCCTCTACGGTGGGGGTGGCGTGGATGTAGTAATCAGAGTTGGGGGCGAGGAGTGTTGAGGGCGGAGAGGAACTTGTTTTTCCTATTCCTATCAGTAAAGTTATTTTCTGATTTTTAAGCAACTTATTTTCTCAAAGATGATATTTTAAAAACATATTGACCGCCCAAATATAAAAAGTTGAAATATTTTCCTTCATACCAAACACACCTGTAATTTCTTCTACTCTGCTTACTCACTTGTCTTCAAACATCGATATTTAGTTCTTGATTTGAAGGAGTTGATTTCTCGAATGGTCACTCAACTAATAGTTATTATCTCAGAAAATTACCTTCTAAGTTGAAGGAAAATTGAAATCAAGAATAAAAGTGACCGTTTGGGATAATATTTATTAGTTGAGTGATCATCTGTGAAATCACTCCATTCTAAAAGCCATGCCTTCTATTGGGTTCAACGGTTTTTATTAGTTCTAACAATTCCTTGTTTAATCAGAAGTTCCAGAGAGATTCTTCCTCCTGCCCTTGATTCCTCTTCAGAGCCACCAGCAATCTTTGATGGAACTCCAAAGTTAGTTGCTTTTTTACTTTATTGCTCCTTTTTTTGTTTGTCTCAAATGTGATTGTTGTATTTCTATTCTTCTTCTTTGTATGATATGATATGGTTAAATTATATACAATAACGGTTAAGTCACTTAATTATTCTTTTGTCATGTTAAAAGTAACTAACACCTATAATAACGAAGTCACTAAACTTTATCCTCTATAAAGTACTAAAATTTATCCATTGAAGTGACTTTTACTGATATAGTGTATAAATCTATGATTTTACTGTTATAATGGATAAAATTCTATGTCGGATATTATATGGTTAGTCCAAATATGGTTACTGACCTTTATACACTATAACAATAATGTCTACTTCTTTTGTCGCATTAAACTAGCTAATAATTGAACCTTACCCACTATAACATTAAAGTTGCTAAACTTTATCCACTATGAAGTAAAACCTACCCATCAAGGTGACTTTTTTGTTATAGCGGATACAATTTTGTGATGGTATTCTTGTAGTAGGTAAAGCTGTGACAAAAAACAGTTTTGTAACTTTACTGTTATAGTTGGTAAAATTCAGTGACCATATGTGAAATCAGCCCTATATATTAGTTTATCTCCCTTGTGATAGTCAATTTATTCATTTTCTTGGTTGAAGGCTTTATATCTCTTACTCATGCCCATATGCCCAACGTACGTGGATTGCTAGAAATTGTAAGGTTTGTATGGAGCAACTATTGATCTAAAATTTGGTTAAATTTAGTGTGTACTCGAATTTCTTCCAGTACCTATAAAGTTAGTTGATTTATATCTTGTATGTAAATCAGGGGCTGCAGGAAGAAATTAAGTTGGTTCCTATTGATCTAAAGAACAGGCCAGATTGGTATAAGGAGAAGGTTTATCCAGCAAATAAGGTGAAAGTGACATTATTGTTTCAAATAAATGGTGACAGTAATTCAAAGGCATGATACATAAACAAACTGTCAAACTTGGCTTCAACTGACAAGTAAATGCTCCAATTTTGATTATGCACATCTAGGCACCTCAACTCGTCTCCATTGTGTCAGTTGAACACTCCAACTTACAAAATGATCATTTAGACACCTCCAAAATTTATGTGCCACGACAGCATTGGGTGTCCACAACACAGTGGGGACGAGTTGGAGTGTATAGTTGCCAATTGAGACCAAGTTGAGGTGTCTAGATGCGGTCTCTCAAAGTTGAAGTGCTTACTTGTCGGCTAAGGCCAAGTTTGAGTATATGTTTCATGTATTATTCCGTTATTCAAATGTTTTATAGTCTCTGCTTTCTTTGAAGTTCTGCAGTCCAGGCCAGAAGGTTTATCCATAGTAGAGTTAAGCTGTTCTTCTTGTTGTTTTAGTACAGTAAATCTACAAACCTGCTTTATCAATTCCTAAATGATAAGTTGAAACCACTGATGTCTCTGTGCGTCTCGTGTGTGTATTTGAGGTTCCCTTCTAATATATATTTATCTGTGATCTAAGGGATCGTCAATCATTTTGCTTACATATCGTGAACTTTGAAATTCGCAGCAGCATAGGAACCACAGGACCCCCTACTAGTAAAAATGTCCCTTCTGTCCATATTTCTACTGATTCAGATGGCAAGGACCCATTGTGGCTTTAGCCCACTTCTTGTTACTAAAAAGATTGTGTATTTATGTGTGTTTAGACTCTTGAGTTTAATTAATTTCAAGTTAGTTAAATTGAAAGGCCTCAGAAAGAAAGTTTAGCTTATCTCTGAATGATTTGATTAATCAAAGGTAAATGAGTCGATTTAGGTCTGCTAATTGACAGGTTTAGGTGGCAAAATATACATACTAGTTCATTGCATTACACTATGCTGTCACTTCGTTGTGCTACTCCCAGAACTTAAGTCTTTTCTTTCACAGGTACCATCACTAGAACACAACAATGAAGTTAAGGGAGAGAGTATGGATCTCATTAGATATATTGACAGTAACTTTAAAGGACCATCACTTTTCCCTGATGTAAGTTCTTGATAGGATTTCCTTTGAGATTTTCCTACTTTTCCCGTCTCTCAACTTGTGTGCTCGCTAATGTAGGATCATTCCAAGAGAGAATTCGCAGAAGAATTGTTCTCCTACTTTGACTCCTTTTACAAAGCTGTAATTTCGTCTTTGAAGGAAGACAAGATAAATGATGCCAGTAAGTTTTAACTCCTATGTAATTTACATATTTGCTTTGCGGTAGAATCTTTAAGTTTTAGACGAGTTGGTGTAGTTGCAGCATTTGATTCCATTGAGACTGCTCTTTCCAAGTTTGTTGATGGATCTTTCTTCCTTGGTTCATTCAGTCTGGTGAGTAGCCATATCTTATTTTTCATTATTCAATATACGCTCGTAAAAGACCTATCTATAGATGAATTAGGCATTAGTAAGTGAAAAGGTGAAATCTGCTGTTAATGTTCACCATAAGAATTATTTTCTGGGAATGCAGCAAATGAAGCAAATTTATGCCGTGTATTCCATTATTCACTACCTTGTATATGTGATGGACAGGTAGATATAGCTTACGTGCCATTCATTGAAAGATTCCAGCCCTTCTTGCTCGAGGTAAAAAACTATGACATTACAACAGGCAGGACAAAACTTGCAGCATGGATCAAGGTATTGCACGGATTACCTTTTCTTTGATACACTTTCCAATGGAATGCTTTGACCACCAGAAGTAAATTTTAACTATACTTATATACCAAAATATTTTCACTTGAATACTAGAACATTATGTTCCTCGAAGCTATTATTGGAATTTGCTACTGTCAAGTTCATAATGATCTTCTGCTTGAGTTCTATAGTGCCCATCCTCGTGCTTTGCATACAATAGGAGGATCTACCGCCAAACCTATAATTTTAGGCATAAGACATAAACAGACCCTCAAAATTGGTCTCAATTGGCAACTAAATCCTCCGCACTGTCTCGTGGACATCCGACGCTGACATGACACATAAATTTTGAAGGTGTCTAGATGATCATTTTGTATATTAGGAGTGTTTCAACTGACAGAGTGGAGATGAGTTGAGGGTGTCTAGATGTGCACGCTCAAAGTTGGAGTGTTTACTTGCCAATTGAAGTTAAGTTTGAGTGAATGCTTATGTATTATACTAATTTAGAACCCAGCTATTTGCACTAGATGAAGTCATCATTTTACAATTTAGGATCCATAAAGTTGAAATCCTAGCTCCGCCTCCGATCACATGTTCGGAATCAACATTATAGCCCTTGGGGTACTGCCCTTCCCCTGACCTTACGTGAAGACTGTATGCTTCGTGCATCCGGTTGCCCTTTCTCCATTGTTTGTAGATAACTACTATTACCATCCTAATATCTTAAGTTTTCTGCATGTGTATAAGCTCTGGTCTTTTAAACATTGTGACTTTTGCAGAACATTAGTTGATGTAGTATGATGTATTTACTGCAGGAGATGAACCAAATTGAAGGTTATACAGTAACTAAACGTGACCCAAAGGAGCACCTGGAGAACTATAAAAGACGTTTCTTGGTATATTGCTTGTCTACTGTTTTTATTTGAGTTGATTTCTCAGATGATCACTCAATAAATAGTTATTATCTCAGAAAATCACTCTTTATTATAAAAAAATAGAATCAAGATAAAGGACGATTTTTTTAGATAAGAACTATTAATTGAGTAACCATACAAATATCTAACCAGTTTTTATTTCGGAAGTTGTTTTATAACCATACTCACCGCCATTTCTTTCTGTTTTTATTTTTGCAGTCTCAGCTCTAATGAGCTCAGTCATTACACAGCATCCACAATTACGCAAAGATTACTGCTGAGTGTAAAAGGGGCTGTCTTGTTCATTGTATTAGAATATGATTAATCTCGGCATAAAATTCCACATATGGTATAACTGGCATCACTAGTGTATGGTTTGTTGCCGCATAAATATATAGTTGCACAGTGAAATTGTCTCCGTATGATCTATATAGATTACGAATTTGAGCCATATAAGTAACCACTAATGCTTGCATTAGAGTAAACGGTCTACATCACAATTCTTCAGGTGCCTTTTCCCAGACCCTACTAACGGGGATGCTTTGTGCACCGGAGTGCCCTTTATAAATATACAGCTGCATGGTGACTATTTCTAATCATAAAAACACCAAGAATATTTCTGTAAACTTCCAAAAGCAATGTCTTAAAAGCAACTTCATACAAAAAGTTAAGGTCACTCACCCATAGAACCTAGCAAATTTTGCAGAAAAAGAAGATTGCTCTCAGTTTACAACAATAAAAGCCAAATTACATGTTACATGTACAGAGCATCAAAGTACTGGAAGAGAAGTTCAGAAAATAAAGTGTTTTGTTGTATGGCTAAATTCAAGATTTGCAGCATACTTTCGGTTCCTAGAGCTTTCAAACATATATTATCAGCAACCATTGAATGGCTTAGTACATAGATCAACATGAACGGAAGCCAGAAGATACTCGCATCAGCACCGTTGTAATTCTGCAAATCGACCAAAAATAATCAGCACTTTAATTCAACTATCAAGACAGCAACAGTATCAAAGTTTTGTTCCGCACAACAGAATCTTCTTCATTCATGCTAAAATACTAATTTACAGTTTGTATTTGTATAACAACAACAACAAGCAAACCCAGTGTAATCCCATAAGTGGGGTCTGGGGAAAGTAGAGTGTATGCAAACCTTAACACAAGTCAAAGCACAGTTTTTATTTGTAGTTCCCCAAAACTAAGCTTCAACTTATCTTACCTTTATACACGCTATTGAGAGGTAGGCAACCATCTCCCCCACCCCCCTCTTTTTGAGAGGTAGCAAGCTCGATGAACACCAATTTTAATCTACCCATTGTCCAAACTATAGTCTTCTCTGCAATCAATTAAACCTAGTATTTGTTACAGTACGTCTCTTGAAATAGAACAGTTGTAAATATTAGCCTTTTGGTGTATATTAAAGATGTATACTACAGACATTTTACTCTTGCTCAACTCCTTACCAGATTTATAAGGAACAATTACACTCTTGTAGCTTCACTGTACCTAGACAGATCTAGTTTCTTGCCTTTGTTGCTTGTTTACTTAATAAAAAAAAACAGTAAGAGAGCAAACTAAATAAAGAAGAACCCAAACCCAGGTAAGCTTCTTTTATGAAATATCGGTAAGTAAAACAAACTGGAAAATAACAATTCTACATATGATTATGTTTCTTTTACTTCACTATCCTTTCTTGCTCACGTCTGCCCATAAAAAAGGTGTCAATACTAATATTACAATATTATAAGACAACTTTATCTAGCTCTTAGATCCAAAGTAACCTTTAAACAGAACATCCAAAACTCCTCAACATTACTGCCGGAAGAAGGGAAGATTAAAAATGTTTTGGTCAGCCAATTTTTTTTTTTACTTCTAGCAAATTGTCCTTGTACTTCTATGCGTACTGAGTTGAGGTCCTAACCGAGTACGTCATAATTGAGAAAGGGAAGACCCACCCACCCCAGAGCCAGAACACACGCAGCAACCCCTCTGCCACCAGCACAAGTTAAGAAAAGTTAGCTCTATATTTGTTTATCTCACCCTAAAGAATGTAAAAAGGCAAATGTCTCTTATTTAAATCTTTCCATGTGCACCTCATATATAAATTAATAGTGGGGGAGGAAAGGGGGCCATCATAGGGTACATACAGGAACTAATTAGCTCCAATGGAAAATCAAAATTAATATAAGGATGATAACCCAATGATTTTCCTCACTCAAAAGATGTTATAAATAAAGGCTAAAAGAAAACATAGTGAGGAGCAAGGTTAGTGTGACAACTTACTTTGACAGAAGTCATTCTTATTTATCTAATATCTAAACACTTGCAACAAGAGGAAGAGAATGAAGAAGCACTTACTTAGAAATTCACATTTGGGAGTTCCCATAGTCAAAGCCTTGTGAAAAAGACCCATCATAGACAAACTGCCATTTTCCACGAAAAATAGGAGTCAAAATAGTAACACCTATTTACTTAATTCTATAAGGGTTAAGAATACCAGAACATGGTGAATAGAGAGTTTGGTACCCTCTTACCTGTGTAGTGGGACTGTGACCTCCAACTATATCGTTTCTAGCAGACGTATCTCCAGCCCTAGAAGATCCCTTGGTGTCTCCCTGACATTAGAAACAATCCCCAAGGCATAGCTAGTGACATATCAGAGGTAAAGACAATAAGCAAATCTATATCATTGATGCGGGGAAGCAATGCATACCTCCATCTGCAATACCATGATTAACCCACAGCCCAGCAAATAGAATGATTCATCACCAGAAAAAGAGACATTGATCAGTTGATAATTGGATAATAACACGGGGTCAAATTAGAAGTTCTTCAAAACTACAGAGGAAGTTCATATAGACCACTGATACACAGAAAATCTTCCAGATGAGCAGAAAAGAACTATTCTGTCTCTCTTTAGTTGTTGATTATAAACACACGCACAAGAATATCAAGATCTCTTCATTTATCAAAGCTTACTTATCATCAGTAACTGAGGAGGAACTGCAATTACCTCTCTGTACCTAATCAAATAGGCCTTTAGCGGCTCAATGTAGTCCTCAAATCCTAAGGTGGTCAAAGACCATACCAAATCATCTCCATTAATCGTCTTTCTCTTCTCTTTTTGACACTTGTCACTTGCCCTGTAAAAGACAGAAACACATTTAAAATCACATGCAAGACCACAAACTACAACTTCAATGTCATCAATAAATATCACATCTAAGTTCAAAGAAAACTGCTATCTCAGAACCATTATTCATCAACATATTTTCGATTTGCAATCATCTATTAACATGTACAGTAATACACAAGTCCTCATTCGAAGACTCAGCGAATATAGATGGATTGGAATTCACAGCTTGACCATTAAAACAGTAATAGCTGTACCCATAGAAAGAGTAAAATATCACACAGAATTTCTCTGATCTAAAGAAAGAATATAGTAAACACACATAGTGTACACAAATAGACTAACATTTTTGTTATATGGGGCACCTTTTTACTATGTTATACATCAATAATAACCAGGGAAAAGGTCCAAAATTTCTCCTCAACTATTTGATATTGTTTAACTTTGAACCCCTTTGAAAGTTGGCAACAAAAAGACCCTTGTCACCCTTTCGTATCATATTTGCCATTCTTGGACAACTGGTGTCAACCTAGACCATTTAATCTCAGCTGGTGCTATTCTTCAAGCGGTGTGGAATTACATGTGAATGTACGTCTGTCACCCATAGTGGGCCCAATCATTCTGTCCTCTTTTCTTCTCTTCTTCCCTTCCCCAAATGCCTCCGATATTCTTTTCTTCCATCCCTCGCACAGCCTCTCTTGCTCACCTCTTAGGCCCTTACCAACAATACTTGCACTCTTTCTACAAATGTTTCCGATATGCTCAAAATAGTTACAAGCATTGTTTTGTTCTTGTTCAAAAAAATTTGGAACTCATAATGTAGATGCACAACAAATTTTCAACATATATCACAAATCATTCAAGTCGTATCCATAAGCACATCAAGCACGGTAGTTTCAACAAATATAGCAAATCATGTAAGTTGCATCCATACACATAGAAAACATGTGCAGAGAATACAGTTGCAAAAATTCTGACTCCAAGTACAATGAACTCCGATATTCAAGAATACCACTTCAAATTTAAACATTTGTAAGTACAATGAACTAATAGTACATCAAATTTCAAATAAATCCTTAGGTATATGAAGCTCTTAAATCTCTTAACTTGTATTGATTAGTGTATGATGTCACTCTTAACTAATTTGTTCTTTTCTCTTCATTGAAACACTTGGATGTGTTCTCATTAACAAAAATCCCCACCTGTATTTATTCCATTATCAATCTAAGGGTATGGAAGCATATCGATTTTCCTAATATTATAGGGGAGGACTACAAGCCAACAAATGGGTTCCGAACCCAATTGCTTTAGTTCAAATGTGGTATTTATATTAAGAAACACACTAAATATGTATAAAAATTAAATTTAGGACCCAGTTAGTAACACTTGATGTCACTATACTAAAATTTAGAATTCATAAAGTTCAGATACTACAATATAGCACTTACTCACTGGTGATCAAACTCATGAACTCAGAGACACAGTCCTAAACACTTGGATGTGCTTTCAGTATATGAACTTCTAACCTGTATTTATCCCATTATCAATCTAAAGGGAATGGAAACATGTCGATTTTCCTAATATTACATGGGTGGAGCAACAAGCCGACGTATGGGTTCCGAACCCAGATTGTATTAAGATTCACTAATATCTACAAAATTAAATATAGAACCCAATTAGAACACTTGCTGTCACTGGACTAAAATTTAGAACCCATAAAGTTCAAATCCTAGCAATATACTCCCTCAATTCATTTTCACAACTGTACTAAAATATATTTTCACTTTTACTCGTCACTTTTAGTATATTCAGGAGCAAAACATATTTTTTCCATGTTTTACCTTCAACATTGATTACTTATTGCCCAAATCATATCACAAGACGTAACACTAAACTACACATCAATTAAATTAATATATAGGTATAGTGGTAAAATACTCATGTATTTGGATTTTGGACAAGTAAAAGTGAACAAAGTGAGAAACACTTACTCGCTAGTGATGAAGCTGATGAACTCAGAAACACATTCCTGAACAGTATCTTTAGCTTCCTTAGCTATCTTAGCATTAGCAGGCAATCCCTTTTTCATGATACGACCGATGTTCGCTATCGGAAGGTACCTGTCCTGTTCCCTCACATTCGATTGAGGACTCCGTTCACCACCACTCTCGTGACTTCCACAACCACCTCCTGGACTCGCCGGAACTTCCGCCATACTCAACAACAACACTATTCAAACCCTAAAAACACAAAACAACCACCATAAAATACACAAAAAAATTTATATGACCTAACCTTAGCTGCTTACTCAACTGTTGACCGGA